TCGGCTTCGTCGGGCGGGATGATGGATGCGTGTCGTATGGGGAAGATTGGGCGGATCGGCTCCGCGTCGCTGTGGCGGAAACTAACCCACCGGTGTCCGCCATCGCATGCATCCGCGATGTGTTGCCCGAGACGCTTCCGTCCGTGGTGCCGGCGTCGTGTGCCTCGGGGGCAGAGTTCATCGAGGCCGTCGGGGAAGTGCAGAACGCAGAGTCGGGGAGGGCGGTTGAGAAGGCGGAGAGCGAGGAGCTGGGTATATTTGTGGAAGAAGTGGAGGGCACGCGGGAGGAAAGGGATGGGCGCAGGATGGTCGTTGTGGGGCTCGAAACCGGGATCGCAAGATTAACGGTGGGGCAACCGGAACCCCCGCGGACTCGAGGGAGGCCAAACTCGCACCGAACCGAGACGCGGACGCACCCTGCGTCTGCGGGTGGTGCACATTATCCGGGTGGTTTCCTCAGCCCCTTCTCCTTGTTCAACATCAATTCTAGGCCAGAAAGCTCGCGCACCGTACAAATGCCTCCAAGACCGCGACGAGTCAGCGCAAAGACTGCTGCCTCACCCAGTTCACGAGTAGATCATGGCAATTCGGAAAGAAAATCAGAGAAGGTCTACTTGGGACCCGACCTCCCACTGGAAGTGTGGGAGCAGGTGTTTGATCTGCTGGCATGGGACGGATGGCTAGGCACGCTGCGGAATTGCGCACTGTCATGCAGACTGTGGGCGCCGAGGTGCGGGTGGCATCTGGCGGGGGAGGTGGTGGTGCGCAACCGGAGACACGGACACCGAGTGGCGAAGGCAATGGCGGCGCCCTATCGAGCCAGTCTGGCCAGGGCGATAACGCTAACCCTGCCAGTAGGATTCATCGCGGGGCGCCCCAGTTTGTCCGTTGCCGCGCTCAAGATCGGCAGTCAGTTGCGCGGCCGCGCATTCTGGGAGGCGACGGTGCTGCATGTCGACGTCTTCGCCCACCTGCGGATGACATTCCCCAACGTGACCCGCCTCACTCTGGACTTCGTCGTCTTCCCCTCCGCGGTCGTCTTTGCCCGCCTCGTGTACTCGTTCCCGCACCTCGCCCGCCTTGCGTGCTACTCGGTCAGCTTCAGGACCCGCGGCCGTTCTGTGCGGGGGCGTGCGCTGCCCCCCAAAGGGTTCGCACTGGCGGACCTCGAGCTGTGTGCTTCTGTTGATGTCGTTGACTTCCTTGTCGACTCTTCTGCCGGCCCCGGTCTCCACCGCATCAAGTGCGAGGACCTGAGCCAAACCGACGTGTACCGCCTGGTCGACTGTGCCGGCGCGTCCCTTCGCTCGCTCAACTTTACTTGCGCCAAGTGGAGGCATCACACGCCAAAACTAGACCTTGGCGGTCTTCTCGGCTTGGAATCTCTCGCCCTCACCCTCGATGTCCCAGAACGCCATCCGGGCCTGGATGGAGCCGCTTTCTGGGCTCAGCTCGGTGTTGTTCTGCCTGCGTCTGCACAACCTCAGCTCCAGACACTCACCGTAAGCGTTAACACAGGTGTGATGTACGACGAGAACGGCGTACAGGGCGTACTCCGGGTCCTGGATACGCAGAGCCCCGCGGACGACGCCTGCGCACACATCGACGACCTGCTCACTGCCCCCGCATATTGCCGTTTACAAAGCGTTTCCTTTAGGTTGCTGTACCACAACTCCGTTTCTAATTACCACTGGCATGCTCCCCATTCACGCACCCAACAATTGTGGCACCAGCACCTCTCCTGTCTATTCCCCAAGATCAGCGCCCACCAATTGCTTCGGTAAGCACATCCTGTGTAATCTTCATGCCAGGATTAACAGCAATTTTCCATTCGATAGAAGCTCTGTCGAAATGCGCGACCTCCGTATGTATCTCCCAGAGCTCGGGTTTTGGAGATAGCGGCGCTCCGTATACGCCATCGAGGGTCATGCGAAATTTTATCTTTTATGCATCTCTAGATTACTGCGTCCCAACTTGCCTGCTATCTCTTTTGGATCCCTCAATCACTGGAAATAACCAGTGAACGATCAGCAGTGAAGAGTCTAATCCACATAGCCGCTCGACATGGCTCACTGCTTGCATAGGCAATCGATTCTGAGGGCTTAGATACAGGTGCTGAAATATCAGAAAAGGATAGGAGGACGAGTCCGGTTTTCGGTACGCGAGTAGAGATGAATATTAGGATCGAACGGTCGAGAAGTGCCAGATATGGATGTGATTAGCGCCCCTGCCAGCTGTTCCAGTCGCTCTGAGAGCCGTCTCTTGCAAGGCTCCCAGTCCTTCGCTCCTGCTCGGCTGTGCTGACATTAATGTCTTGTCGTTGTTTCCCGACGATGCCCACTGTAAGACAGGTCAACCCAGTCAATCAGCCTTAACCACATGAAGAAGCTGTACACACGCTCGGAGCTGGACGCATGAGAGCGTTACGGTGTCCCATCTCCTATAACCGTTTCATCGCCTATGTCCATTGTTCATCAGGGATACAGGCGATGTGCGGCCCTCGACCCACTCTCCACGGCCCTCAATTATACTGCACTTTCCAGCTCATGCACATTTTCAACACGACCGTCCCGCTCCCTGTCCGTCCTTGACGCATGCGATCCAATCCGGCAGGTATGATCAGCGTCCTCGGAAGGCTGCGAGATAAATGCAGAACCCGTTTTTACATCTGGTGAGCCTAGTCTCACCGCCCTCGCTGGTCTGGAAACGTAACACCATCTGGTCAACTCGATCATTGGTGCGCAGGCAGATACGTGCTCCTGAGAGCGTGGGCGACGTCCACGTCTTTATCAACGCTTGCAGGACCCGTAGTCTGCTTCTTGCTTTTTGCTCCACAACTCTCGTCTGCACAGATGCCACGGCCAGTGTGCCAGCATAGCTTTACGGCTTCGTGTTCATTTTATGTCCACGTATTGCATGACTGCAGGCACTTCTCCGGCACGACAGTGCTGCCTGGCCAAAGCAGTTGTGCAGACGTCAATTCGCTGTCATGCAGAGCTCGGCTGGGTTCCCCGCTGGACGCGCTCAGGGCCTCTCCTGTCACGAACCGCTTCCTTCGTACTGGCGGTGTTTGTTTGTAGCGTGTGGTCTCTGTATCTTGGCCCCCGTGTTCTTCCTAGAATATGAGCTTCTCGGGCTCCAAATTCCGTGGTACTCGGACGGCGCAATGCATATGTGAGGGATGCATTCAGCCCCGGTGCCTTCGACCACACTCCGCGAAGAGTGGTCTCAAATGACGACTAGCTAAACACGGGACGGGGTCTGGTCAGCGTGCATGTGATCCTGTTGCCGTTCCGTAGAGGATGGACGTGGCTAACGGGGACCGGAGTGGTACATCTATCATTGAATGAAGTGCTGTGCGACCCGCGCGACTCACTGTATCGTGCGTGCATTCTTAATCCTTGGCCTACTCGCTAGTATCAATTATCACCATGCGCCAAACGCTCGCTTCATGTTACAGTTCACGTCAATGCAACGGTCTATTCCTGGTCAATCTTCTCAGCAATTGTGGTCAGTTCCTCTCTTGCCGATTTCACAGGCTCAACGCATGTGACTCATTTGTGAGCATAGCGTCGTGTGTATTCTTCGTGTCGGCGCCGTCTATACTGTTTCTTCTCTAGAGACTCTGTGACTATCGATGGACATGCGACTCGGTCTGCTCAGCGCATGTGGTCCTGTCGCAGTTCTGTAAAGGATAAGCGACGGAGTATTTTGGTGGTACTTACTACACCTGTCGTTGGATGAAAGACTGTGCTGTGAGGTTCACACGATCCGCAGTATGGGTGTATTTCTACTTCTGGATAGCGTGCATGTCACCGCATCCATTGTGCCAGTAGCCTCTCGAGACGTCTTTGACGGGGCTCTGACCAGGGTCCAAGCTGCCGAGACTTGGTCGCTGGATGGTTACAAATTGTGAGACGGTGCTAGCTTCCTCATTTGCCGCATATTAGAAGTCCATGACTCCCCGATCGCACTTGGAGAAGAGACAGTGCCGTCGTGATGGGGACCCTACTCAGCGCGCGAAATGGGTTGAACAGATTATGTACGTGGGTCAGCGTAAGTACCACTCGCATACGCACCTACGGTGCGACTGAGTCGCGACGTCATGCCTTCTGTTGCAGATATCGACCAGCGAAGGCCAGGCGTGTTCAGAAACCTGAGAACTAAGGAGCCACTCAAGCCGGAGAAGATATCCTTGTGTGCTGAGAAGTTGCCGGTTGAGGTGTGGGAACGGGTATTCGATGCACTGGCGGAGAACGGACAGCTGCTAGCGCTGCTGGATTGTGCACTGACCTGCAGGCTATGGGCTCCAAGGTGTCTGTGGCATCTGGCGCGGCACGTCGTCGTTTGCAGCAGGAAACACGGACAACGGGTGGGGAAGGCGATGGTCACATCCCATAGGATCAGCCTGGCTACCGCCATAACGTTCAGGAAGCCTGTTGGGTTCGTGCTTGGGCGACCCATCACGTCCGTAGAGACCCTTGGAATAGGAGATTACTCCCCTTCTGTCGGAGACTGGAAGGCGAAGGTATTTCATGCGGACGTCTTCACCCACCTGCGGATCACATTCCCCAGTGTGACCCGTCTCACGCTAGACAACACTACGTTCCCGTCCGTGGTTGTGTTTGCGCGGCTTGTGTTTTCATTTCCGCGCCTGACTCGCTTCGCCTGCCACTTTGTAGCATTTGCCACGGGCGGGTATTTGCGGGGGCGTGCGCTGCCCCCAAAAGGGTTCGCGATGACTGACGTTGAGTTGTATCAGTCTGATGATGTCGTCGACTTCCTTGTTGAACGTTCGGCTGAGCCCCTCACGTACGAAGATGTGCGCGAAAGGGACAGGCAGGGCGCAAGCGCTTCCCTCCGCTCACTGGACGTGTGGAGCATCTCCCACAGACTGGACTCTCTGGGCGGACTGGGCTGCTTCAAGTATTTGGAATCCTTGACCCTCGCTTTCGACGCATTCGAACAGCGATTAGACCCAGGTACGGTTTGGGATGACCTGTACAATGTCCTGGGTGGGCTCGCCTCGTCCAAGCTCCAGCAATTCACAATATCCTTCATAGCAGACTTCTCTGATATCCATGGCTGTGGCATATCGGACACCCTCCAAACCCTTTCCACGGGTGTCAGTGACCGCATTTTTGCCCGTATCGATGATCTGCTCGCCGGCCCCAGATATCATCACCTGCAAACCATTTGCTTCAGGCTATGGTTCGACCATTCGATGGACTTGTGTATCCCCGGTTCACCCTCCAAGCAACTATGGTTCCGGTTCCTCTCCTGCCATTTTCCCCGGCTCAGTACGCACGAATCATTTCGGTGAGCATGCCATGTAAGTCGATTGCGCTGATATCAGCCCTAACATCCAAGTTCCAGGTGCCCCGTGGTCGTCGGGGGCCATAAGTATCATTTCCCGATACTCAGAAGGGGTCCACTCTACCATCGCTGAACCAGATGTCAAAGCTCCATCCTCAGCTGGTATCTAGTACTCTCCCACCCCAAGTTACTCGCCGTCTCTGGTCCTTGGTTCTCTATTCAACAGCCGATGTCATTACACCATCTGCTGACCAACATTGAAAATTTTCACCCCCGCATCCGCACAATCAGTCGTCCTCATGCTGCATTCCCTGCCCTCACTGCCGCCTGTAGCTACCATTGTGCCCACCCCGTCCATTCCGCGAGATCGTCGAATCGTCATGGAGGCCCCGTAACTTGCAATTGCCTCGTATCTATTCACGAACCGCAGCCATCACACTCTACTCTAGCGCATTAGATGGTCCTAGCACGCTGTCTGGGCTCGCGCTTCTTCTTGGTTTCGGCATTGATCCACTCTTGATCTTGTCTTGTGAAAAACGCATACATATCTTTACAGACTTCTTGTGCTGCACCCCGGCCCAACTTTCTGAGCCGAAGATCAAATGCAGCCTCAATCGACCGTAGGCCAATATAATTGTCTACAACGAGATTTCCGCAACCATCCGATCGGCAACCCCCCCCC